GAGCGGTGGGGCCTCAGCTACCGCGAGGCGATAGTAGTATATTTTCATCGAGCAATTCGCGTCATAAATTCCTTCATTACGCGTGGGCGGTTCACGGATGCCCCTTCGGGCTATCGTCCCGCTCGCCGGAAAGCAAACATTAAAGCGCGGGGGCGGCTGTGCGTTATCGGTGATGCAATTACGTTTCAGACGGAATGCGACGGGTCATCGATCGTTATCGGCGCGATGCGATTATCAAGACGAGAACGATCGAGGCAAATCTCCTTCCGCGCGATCGCGCTTCCGCCCGTGATGCCGTGATTGGGTATATCCTCTTTTTTTTTCTCCCTCGTTTTTTCTTCCCGTCGGTCAGTTAATCACAGGACTCGGTGCATAGGAAATGTTATTCTCAAATGCAAATTGTAAACGCGGTTACACCGCGACAATCGAATTACCAGTTATGGAAATTCGTGCGTTTGGAAACAATGGTCATTATAAATACCAGGTCGTTGCGGCGCGCGATGGAACCGCGTATCGTAGATGATCATGGTACGAACAATAATGATTATTTCATTTCAATCAACTCGCGGAAATTGAACAGTTCTGGAACCAGAATGAAAGGACGTTCCCGCCACCGCTCGATAGCCATTGATTTAAAACTATGTCTAATTATGTATGATGTGTGTGTATGTGTACACATACACACACACACACACACACACACACACACACACACAAAAATATATATATATATGTATATGTGTACATACATTGCGGTATGCGCAATCTATCTATTACCGTAGGTTAACGAAGTTGGAAATCAGTTTGATCGATCAATTAAAGTAAATGATTGTCGAGCGCGTTTGACTGCTCGATCCCGCGGTGATTTGATCGCGTCGATTTTATCGCTACAATCGTGAGCTTTGACATCTGTTGCGGAGTGATATCATGTTACGAGATATTAATCAGCGGAACAATCGAACGTAGATATGTACGCAATTAAATCTAAACCTAAACCTTTCGTTACATTCAGAAATTTACCGCTCCACAATCAGAGCATCTGATGGCTTCTGCCAATTGAGAATTGCATGAAAGGGATCTAAATTCTTCCTTTCCGATAAATGAATTATGGCGAATTATGGCTCGTAAATAATCGCGATCGCGTTTGGCGTTGCTACCCTTCTTTCCGAAACGGCCGATCAATCGTACCTTTCCTCCCACCACCCCTCCACCACAGTCGTCACGCCGCGATTAATCGGACCGCTTATCGGTTTATCACTCGTTCGCGACTTACCTACCGCGCGAACATTTATCTCGCAATGCAGCCCCGAGTAGCGACCGTCTGCTCCTCGTAAGTCTCATCCCGTTCACAATCTAAAATCAGCACTCAGTCACCGTACTCTCATCGCCGCTATTCTCCGTCGCCTCTGCCGTGCAATCCGCACCGAAGTGAATTCTTCATTCCATCCATCCGGGGGACAGTCAATTTGTCCTTATTTTCTACCGCTTCCGACTTTCACTCCGCTCGAGTTAAGTGTTTCTTTTTTTTTCCGTCCTCTTTTTTCCCCTCCCTTTTCTCTCGTCTCTGTCTCACGCGCGCTCCGGAAGCCCACCCCTTGGCGAAGACGCGACGCGACTTTCACTCGATTGTGCCTCGGCCAAGTTGGCCCGAACGAGTAGCTCTTGGCACGGGAATCACTATCATCCGTTCCCCCTCCGAGAGGAAAGTCTGAGACGAGAATGTGAAGAAGAAGAAGTGAACAAGAAGAAGATGAGAACGAGAAGAAGTCTCTCCCCTCCTCTTTCCCTCCTTCTCCCTCGCCATTTGTCTGTCTCTCTTCTCCCCCTTGTCGGCCTTTGCCGGGGATCGGGAAAGCGAAAGGAGGACAAAGAATGGGAATGCGAGGAGGAAAACACCATCCACCGAGGTCTAGTGCCTCCGTACCGAAATACACTGGTCTGTAGATTCGTGTCTATAGCTTACTCGGACGACAGAGAGTGAAAGAGAGGAACGCGGGGGGGTCGGTGAGGTGAAGGGGGTTGGACTCCGGGTTAAAGTGGCGTCGCGTGTATAACCGCACCAGCACGGTGGAATATACGGCGCTGCGACAGAGCGGACGGAGCGTTCCGCATCGTCCTTCCGCTCCGTTCTTTCTCACCTACCAGCCCCGCGTCGTTATTTTTCCTCCAAGTCCCGAGGGATTACGCACTCCTGCTCTCTCACGGTCCATCACCTTTCTTTACGCCAAGTGCCATGGATTCATTCCCGATTATGTAGTGCGTTAAGTATCAAAGAACATCAAGCCGCTTTCCGTGTGCTTACGCTCGAAAGAGCCCAAATATTTTCTACGTTGTGTAGAAAAAGTACCGCATTTAATTTGCCTATTATTTATTATTCGCTATTTGTATAAAAGACCCAAATTTATTATTTAAAGAAAATATCGATTACTCGAAAAAAATTTGGAATTCTTGAACGATGCTTTTCTGCCTGGAAAAATCAGAGAATTTTCAAAGAATTTCATCACAAGTCAGAAAATTTTCGTTAAAATTATTTCTTAAAAGATTTTTCTTCCATTTTGTGGGTATTAAAGTTCTAATTTAGATTTTTAGATGTTTTCTTATGTAATAAAAGGATAAAAATTTTATATAATGAAATAATTATTTTATGAAAGTTTTTGATTTTTGTCAGCATTCTTTTAAATCTAATATTTAGAAGGAGTTTTTAATTCCATAAATAAGAAAGAACTAAAACTGACTAATTAACTTCATATGGTAATCAAATTTATTTCACATTTGCAGAGAGAAAGATATGTAATTCTGCTCGAAAATTTTCTTTACAAAAATGTAAAGAAAATTTTCAGAGAATTTTTTACAAAATTTGAATAAAAATAGCTTCATCAGATAATTGTTTCATAAAGGAATGTGTACTAGTTAAAAAAGGATGTTGCACAATTTAAATATTCGCAAATAATATTAAGATTTCTATTATCTCGTATTATTATAGTGTTTCCGAGCAAGTAGCAAAATATATATATATATATATATATATGTAGAGAGATTATTATCAAACTATGCAAACACGACGCGCATAGAAAGGGAAGAAAATTCCGCGATGGAGAATCAACAGTAGCTTCATCGTCTTTAATGCGTGTCTCAAGAGAAATTCCCACGGGAGAACAAGACGGGCGACCATCGCGAATAAATATTTGTGTAATGTTGTACGTGCTAGATGTGGATTTTCGGTAGGTAGAGGAGAGAGATCGAACGGGACGAATCCGGTCGTCTTCTCTGTAGCCGCGAATTGTCAGCAGCAGGCTGCTGCACACTCCATACTGAGCGATATGCGGCTGTAAGCGCGGACTTAGGATCGATAGTGGAATCAGCCTAATCATCCGGAAGTGTTGCCGATGTCCGCCGTTAATCCGATCGCAGATGTTTCACTCCGACCGATTCTCTCTAACCCCGATCCTCCCTTCCCCGTCCCACCCACCCTCCCTCCGTTCCTCCTGCCGCATCTCGAGCGGCGCAGGCTCGGCGGACGGCCGCTCGTGTGCCCGTTCGCGGATGTTTGTTTGCGGCCGCGTTAGCGGATTCTAATCGCGGTTACTCCGTTCGCGCCCTAAATCTGCCACCGCCGCCAAACTGAGTACTTAAATCGAGTGAAACGTACCCGTTGTACAGCGCATTTAGGTTAAAGCACCTATTTTCAATTAGGCGCCCCGGGCCGCTTGGGCCGATATATCTCGTCCGTTCCGGCGGTTCCGAGTCGTGAAACTGGCACGGTAAACGGAAATCTCTCGTTGATTAATAGTATGGACGACTTTTCGCGATTTATCTTGTCGTCACTTAAATGGTGCGTTTTAATAAATCGGAGACCTTCGCGAAGAATTCGGGCAAATGTAATGTTAATCGCTTGATTAAATACCTTTGCATTTTTAAGTCCGTTCGATATCCGTGGGAACTACTTTTACGTTGAAGTTTGCCAAACTGTAAAAACG